CTGTCCTATTGCATCCACCCCACACTCCAGGGCTCTGACTTCAGCTCTTGTGGGAGTATTTTAGAACTGCCCCCCTGACCTATGGGGATCACATCACATGTAGGAGTGTTGTCTTAGTGGTGGGGGCTGAGTAGCTGGACAAACAGCCCCTCAAGGGAGAAACCTTGTGGGGGGTGGGCAGAGAGATGGGTTCAGCACCTAGTTTTGGGATCCGCAGCACTCCTGCTTACTCTGCCCTGGGTTCTGTGCTGGGGAGATGTGGACATGTGGGACAGCACTGCCCTCAGATACCTGTAGCAAAGAGAGACCTAAATGAGAACTAATCATGTCAGTGCTGTGTGGCCAGCACTGAGAGATTCACTGCAGGACTGAGTGAGTGAGAGAGTGCAGATGGGCAGAGGCTGAGCCATCAGACCTGTTGAGACATCTGCGCCAAGAAAGAGCCTGTTGTTCTGGGTTTGTTTTTTTTTTTTTGGAGACAGTCTCACTCTGTCACCCTGGGTAGAGTGCCAGGGCATCATCATAGCTCACAGCAACCTCAAACTCCAGCTCCTGGGCTCAAGTGATCCTCTTGCCTCAACCTTTCCAGTAGCTGGGACTATAGGTGTTGGCCACAATGCCCAGCTAGTTTTAGAGACAGGGGTTTCTCTCTTGCTCAGGCTGATCTCAAACTCCTAAGCTTAAGCAATCCACCTGCCTTGGCCTTCCAGAATGCTGGCCTGCTTTTTTGTTTGTTTTGAGATAAGAGTCTCAAGCTGTTCCCCTGGGTAGAGTGCTATGGCATCATAGCTCACAGCAACCTCAAGCCTTTGGGCTCAAGCGATCCTCTTGCCTCAGTTTTTGGGCTCAAGGCGTCTTGAACTCGTGAACTCAAGCAATCCACTCGCTTTGGGCTCCCAGAGTGCTGGGATTACAGATGTAAGCCACCATGCTTGGCCCTGTTGTGCTGGGTTTTGAAGGATAGGTAGGAGCTTGCTACCCAGACAATGAAAGAAAGTGCATCCCAGGCTGGGAAAGCACATATAGAGGCATGATGGGGCCCAGGGAGCCCGGTGAACTGGAGGAGCTGTGAGCAGTTTGGAAAGGAGGGGTGGGTGGCAGGAATGAGGCTGCAGGGAGGTGGGGCCTGGGCATGAAGGCTAAAAGCTGGACAAGTGTCCGACTAGCCTGTGATCAGCATTCCCCAAGAACATCCATGATTCTTGGCTCTGTAAGGTGCTAATAAGGGTCATTTGAATTTCCTAAGCCTCAATTTCCTCATCTGTGGAGTGGGGACAGCATCCCCACTGTGCTAGAGTCCTCAGGACCCGCGGTGCTGGTGAGGGGTGGCGGGCGGCCGGTGGTGGGTGGTTCCCCAGCGGCACTGATGCCTGTCTCTCTGTCGTGTGTGTACGTGTGTGTCGCACGGCCTGCCTTCTCAGGCTTTAAAATGTGTGTCAGCAGCAGCAGCGGCAGCCACGATGAGGCCCCTGTCCTGAGCGACAAGCACCTGGACGTGCCCGACATCATCATCACCCCTCCAACCCCCACAGGCATGATGCTGCCCAGAGACTCCAGGAGGACAGGTGAGGCCGCCTTGCTGGCACTGCTGGGCTGGGTCGGGTGTGGGCGTCCCCTTCTCTGTCCACTCCACCCCCTGAATTTATCAAGAACCTCTGGTCAGACCTGTGTACACATCTCCATCACCCCGACCCTGGCACCAGCCTCAGGAGATGCGGTGTGTTAAGTGATTAGTAGACAACCCCTGCCAGCAGCAGGGGACAAGTGATGGATAGGTCTAGGCTGGCCTGTCACATGCTCTCCCACCAGCCAAGACATGAGATGGATGGGCCATCCCCTGTCTCCAGAAGGACGGTGCTCCATCTTACTGGGCACAGCGTTTGGCTGGATAGGATGGACTTGGAAACATAGCTCGTGCTCTGGACCTGGGATGTTCCTTAAGCAGCTCTGGGGAGGATAGATTTGTACAGAAGGACTGGCATGGGTGTCACCTCTTGCCTGTGCCATCAGACAGCCACTCCTCCCTGGAGATGGGCGGCACTAGACGGGGTGCACAAGCTTGAGAGCCAGGAAGCTCCGTCTGAGTCACTGTGTGACTGTGAGCAGGGGCAGGGCCCCACCCAGCCTCAGTTTGCTCATCTGTCACGTAAAGATGACAGTGCCTCCAGGAGGTAGTGCCTGGCGCAGTGCCCTGGTGGCGGCTGTGTAGTTGACATTCCTATCAGTGGTAACTAAGCAAGAGAATCGATCACCAGACCTGGTGAACATGTCCTCCGGGGCTACTGGATGCTTGTCTGATACCAAGGGCTTCTCTCTGGGGTTTGAGAGAGGAGAGAGTGAGTCAGGCCCTTGCCCAGCCCCTGAGGGACGTGTGGAGAAGGTGTCCCCTCTCCTAGGCTTCAGCTCTTCTGAAACCATAGGGCAGGGGAGGGGGAGGGTTCCTCAGTCTTCCCCAAGGAGGCTGAGCTGGTGGGTGCAACCCCAGGGGCCTCAGCCAGAGACTGTAGGGCACTAAGCATTAAGAGTAAGCATGGGGGGTGTCTGGGATCCCTAAGAGACCCAGCAAGACTGGGTCCCTTCTCACCATAAAGAAGGGAGCCCTAGCTTCCTAAGTTCCCAAGAAAGGGGCCAAGGTTAAGGGGTCCACACAGATGTTAATGTCCTATTTTTCCTAGTCTGGCTGGATGAGACAGGGTCATGCCCAGATGACGGAGAAATCGACCCTGAAGCCTGAGAGGAGTCCCAGAGCGGGGATCTGTAAGCAGCTCCTGCTCCAGTGCCCCTTGCCCAGGTGTCCGGGGACCTGGCTGCCTGTGGCAGGTGTGCTCAGTTCCCTGGATGGAAACTCGGTGAATCTGGCCTGTACCACAACAGGAGTGAGGACCAGCGAGGAATCGGCCTGCCCACTTCCGGGACCGTCTTCCCCAGGCCGTCAGCAGACCAGAACTCTGGCACCTCCATAGTCTCACTGACCCTGATGTGGCAAAAGGTGATGCCATGGTGACAGCTGGCGGGGTTCCAGGGACAGGCTCTCTTTTGGACAAATGCCCTCCCAGCACCCTGGGCCATGAAAACATGTGCCCCAAGGTCAGCACAAACAAGAGCTTCTTGCAAGAGAAGCGGCTCCGTTTTTTACAAGTTGTTTTATAGAGACTGAAGCAGTCCAAGAAATGATTTATAATTTCTTTTTTTCATTATAAATAAAGATCCTCTGTAACGAACACCCTGCTTCTTGGATTGGGAGGGGGAGATGGCGCACGCCCGGGTGAGCAGGTGGGTTTCAGAGAGGTGCTTAGTCGGACAGGCCTTTTGGTGATCTCGAGTCCTTCATTGTTCAGGCTTCTGTGTGGCCAAGTCATGGGCTCTGAGATCACATGGAACCCCTTAGAGTCCCAGTTCCGTCCCTCCTAGCTATGGGATCCTGGCAGTGATATGTCCCTAGGTTGGCAGGAGATGTTGAATTTGTTTGAAGTTTTTTCAAAAACATCAAATTGTGGCCAGGTGCAGTGGTTCACGCCCATAATCCCAGCACTCTGGGAGGTCAAGGTGCATGGATTGCCTGAGCTCAGGAGTTCAAAACCAACCCTGAGCAAGAGTGAGACCCCCATCTCTACAAAAAATAGAAAAATTAATTAAGCATCGTGGTGGCACCTGTAGTCCCAGGTACTGGGGAGGCTGAGGCAGGAGGATAGTTTGAACCTAGGAGTTTGGGTTGCTGTGAGCTGTGTTGATGCCACAGCACTCTAGCCTGGGGGACAGAGTGAGACTCTATCTCACTCTGAAAAAAAAAAGAACATGAAATTGTTGTTGGGGTCCTGTCTTTCCACAAGCTGCCCTCCCTTCTTGGTTGGGCACCCCCAGAAGCAGAGCCTAAGCAAAGGGTTCAGGCACAGAAAGTTGATTTGAGAAGTGATCCCAGGATACACAAGTAGGGAGTGGGGAAGTGCAGTCCAGGGGTCTCCAAGACCACCCTCAGGTTTCATCCTCGGCCGGAAGGACTTGCAGAACCCAGAAAAGCCATTATGGCCATGGTTATGGTTTAGTACAGCAAGCAGCTACAGATCAAAGCCAGCAGAGGGCAAGAGGATCCAGGAGAGGCCGGGTGCCAGCTTCCAGCAGCCCCTCCCGGGAAGCAGAGGGGCATGGATAATGCTGACTTCTCCTGCCCGTGATGTGTGCCAATATCCGCTAAGTACTGCCTACCAGGGAAGCTCCCCGAGCCTTGGTGTCCAGAGTCTTTATTGAGGTTCGTTAATATGGACACAGCTGATACTGCTTTAGCCTCTGACCCTCCAAAGCTTGAGCTAAAACCGCCCATCCTTAGGGTGGACTGTACAGTGGGTACAGGCCCCAGGTGAGCAAAGACACTTACCAGGCATTCCAGAGGCTGAGAGGCACTGCCCTGGAGCCAAGGGCAAAGGCCAGGCCTCTCCTTGGGCACTCTTAACCCTTCAGTGCACAAGAGGCAGGTGGCAGAGGGAAGGGAGCCATAAAGGAGCTGAGGGAGGCAGTGCCTCCTGTGGGCACCTGGGCTCAGGTCCCCTGAGGCCTCCTGGAGGACAGTGTGGACTCCTGAGGGGTGAGGTATGGGGTCGGCTTCCTCCCTTCCCCTCATTGTTGGCTGAACGTGGCTTCCAGAACCCCCCCAGCCCGTCCATGCACAGACAGCGCCTCACAGAGGCCATGGGGATACACGCTGGGCACTGAGTCCCAGGGACATGGTGAGCCCCCTGCCCCCCACATCGGGCCAGCTCCTTGTACATGTGTCCCGCACTGCAGCAGGGCCCACGCTCAGAAGTCCCATGCTGTGTTTAACGCTCTGCGGTGGCCACTCGAAATTCTCAGTGCCGTGGTCCTTTTGCAGCAGGCCCTGCAGACTCCACAAAAGGACCAAGTCCTTCTGCCTCGCACGTTCTGTGTGCTACAATGCAGCAGGGCAGCCAGGAGCCCCAGGAGTGCCGCCCACTGTCTACTGAGCCCATGCTCCTTGGAGTCTCAAGGGACATTTTCCTTCTCATCTTCCATTTTTTTTTTTTTTTAGATAGTCTTATTTTGTCACCCTCAGTAGAGTGCCATGGTGTCACAGCTCACAGAAACCTCAAACTCTTAGGCTCAAGCAATTCTCTTGCCTCAGTCTCCCCAGTAGCTGGGACTACAGGTGCCTACCACAACATCCAGCTATTTTTAGAGACTACGTCTCACTATGGCTCAGGCTGGTCTTAGACTCATAAGCTCAAGCAATCCACTTGTCTTGGCTCCCAGAGTGCTAGGATTGCAGACGTGAGCCCCTGAGTCCAGCTCTTTCTCATCTTCTGATGACCCAGTCCCCAGAAGCCAGGGAAATCATTTTAGCAAGCTGGCCCCAGGGTCTGAGCTGCTAAACTACTGCCCTGTCCTGGCTCATCCTTTTAACCTTTGTACTGAGGGGTCCCCAGTACAGCAAAGTTCACTGAACTTCACCATGCACCTCACCTCCACCAGGGGTGTGTGTAGTCTCTGTGGAACCACCTCCTCAATGGACAGAGAACGCTTCTGTCACCTGACCACAGGCCTCACTGGAGCCTCAGGAGGCTGTTGCTGTCTTAATTCCCTCGCCATGGATTGGTCTCTCCTGTCCCCACACTCCATGGAAAGAAGTCCAATGGGCCACCTTATCTAAGTGCCTGTTCCTCCTGCTGTTGCAACAGAATGCTACAGACTGGGTGATTTATTTATTTAATTTTTTTTGAGACAGTCTCATTTTGTTGCCCTTGGTAGAGTGCTGTGGCATCACTGCTCACAGCAACTTTAAACTCTTGGGCTCAAGTGATTCTCTTGCCTCAGCCTCCTTAGTAGCTGGGACTATAGACATCCGTTACAACACCTGGCTATTTTTAGAGACAGGATCTCACTATGACTCAGGGTGGTCTTGAACTCATAAGCTCAGGCAATCACCCTCCTTGGCCTCCCGAGTGCTAGAATTATAGCCATGAGCCACTGGGCATGTGGCCTGATTTATAAAACATAGAAACTTATGGCTCATGTTCCTAGAGGCTGGGAAATCCAAAATCGAAAAGTGGATCTGAGGTCAGGTGCTGTGGCTCACACCTTTAACCCCCCACCCTCTGGGAGGCAGAGGCAGGAGCATCCCTTGATCTCAGGAGTTCAAGACCTGCCTAAGCAAGAGCAAGACCAGGTCTCTACTAAAAATAGAAAAAATGGGCTTGGCACCTGTGGCTCAAGTGGCTAAGGCGCCAGCCACATACACCTAAGGTGGTGGGTTCAAATCCAGCCTGGGCCCGCCAAACAACAATGACGGCTGCAACCAAAAAGAAAAAAATAGTTTTTGTGATGGGCTCCTGTGGTCCCAGCTACTTGGGAGGCTGAGGCAGGAGACTTGCTTGAGCCCAAGAGTTGGAGGTTGCTGTGTTGCCACAGCACTCTACCCAGGGGAACAGCTTGAGGCTCTGTCTCAAAAAAAGAAAAGAAAAGAAAAGAAAAAACTAGTTGGGTGTGGTACAAGCACCTATACTCCCTGCTACTCCAGGGGCTGAGGCAGGAGCATCACCTGAACTCAGGAGTTTGAGGTTGCTGTGAGTTAGCTGAGGCCATGGCATCGTAGTCTGGGCAACAAAGTAAGACTGTCTCAAAAAAAGGAAAAAAAAAACAGATTTGGTATCTGGTGAAAGCTGATTTGCTTCAAAGATGATACCTCTATGCTCCATCCTCACAAGGCATTCTGTTGCAACAGAATGCTACAGACTGGGTGATTTATTTATTTATTTGTTTGTCTGTTTATTTATTTATTTTTTGAGACAGTCTCATTTTGTTGCCCTTGGTAGAGTGCTGTGGCATCACAGCTCACAGCCACTTAAAACTCTTGAGCTCAAGTGATTCTCTTGCCTCAGCCTCCCAAGTAGCAGGAACTACAGGTACCCACCACAACGCCCTGCTATTTTTTTTTTATTGCAGTTGTCATTGTTGTTTAGCAGGCCCAGGCCAGGTTGGAACCCGCCTGCCTGGGTGTATGTGGCCGGCACCCTAACCACTGAGTATGGACCCTGAGCCCATCTTCCTTCCTGTACCTGTCTCCACCTGCTGCAGTCTCCTGCCCCCTCCCCACCCTGTGCTCTTCCCCTTCTCTGCCCATCATCCTCCAGTCACCAGCTCCCAAATCATCTGTGATGGCTCTTTTCACATTCCGTCACCGATGCCTCTGCGTCCATTGATTTTCCTGCCGTCATCTCGTGCCTCTGCCCACCCTAGCCTGACTCTGACAGGCCTGCTCTGGCCCCTGGGACAGCTCACCAGGACTGTTGAAAAGGCGAGTTTGCCAATCCCTGTCTTCTCTGCCATCCTTCACTCTGCTGCCGACTTCCTCTCTGATCCCACCGCTGTCCTGCTTAGCGCCCTCCAAAAGCTCCCCACTGGCTCTGAACAGAGGCCAGACCTCCAGCTTCTCTAGCTGAGCAGGACTTCTTGCTTTACCTTCTTGCCACATTTTTTCTTTCTTTCTTGTTTTTCATCCTCAGTAGAGTGTCGTGGTTCCTAGAACAAAGCAACCTCCCAAGTCATAGCAGGAATCTGGGCGCCAAACTCCTGGGCTCAAGTGATCCTCTTGCCTCAGCTTCCCGAGTGGCTGGGAGTACAGGTGCCCACCATGACACCCGGATATTTTTAGAGATGGGGGTTTTGCTCTTGCTCAGGCTGGTCTCGAGCTCCAGAGCTCAGGCAATCCACCCACCTTGGCCTCCCAGAGTGCTGGGAGCCACCCAGCCCGGCCTCCTTTTTTTTTTTTTTTTTTTTTTAGACAGAGTGGCAAGCGTTGTCCTGGGTAGAGTGCCATGGCATCAAAGCTCACAGCAACTTGAAACTCTCGGGCTCAAATGATCCTTCTGCCTCAGCC